CTCTACGAGTGGCTCGCACAGCGCGAGAGATCCCCTCCCTCCACCCACCCCCACCACAAACACACACACACACACAGACACACACACACACACACACACACACACACACACACACACACACACACACACACACACCACCTCCACCCCCCAGGACCCGCTACCGCCCTCCTCGACTCGTCCCCCCCCCATCCTCGCACAGGTCCCTCTACCCCACCATGGCCGGCTACCGCCCTCCTCGCCCGGAGCCTCCGCCGGTCCGCCTGCCCAGCCCAGCCGCCCGCCGGACACTCCCCGCGACTCTCCCCACAACGTGTCCCGCAGGTCCGGCTGCCGGTCAAGCTCCCCGACCAGCTGCGCGGGGAGCAGTACGCCTTCGTCACGCTGCCCTACGCCGAGTTCCTCCCCGGCGGGGGCATCACCGACGAGAATGTCGGGTTCGGCTCCCTCTGCCCGCTCCCGGCCGCCGACCGCGCGCCCGCCGAAGACGCGATGGTCCCCGGGCTGGTTGTGTTTTCGCGCCGCGCGCCCGCCATCGCCGCGTGGCTGACGGGCGCCGACCCTCGCGGGAGGTGCGCGGCGGCGGGCGCCCTTCTGTCTCACGGCCGCGCCGCTCTCTCCTTCTCTTAGGCGTCGATCTCGCGTACGTGTGCGGCGCGCTCGAGTCGCGCGAGCTGTTGCTCGAGGTCGGGCGCGGCACGCAGCGCCAGCATCTCGGCGGCATCTCGGCTGCATCTCGGCTGCATCTCGTGGCAGGTCGGGCTAGACACGCAGTACTTGTTCGCGCGGATACGGACGGCGGAGCAGTCGCTCGAGGCGCAGCTGTTTGAGGAGGGCAAGAGCCGCACCGCCGGCCTCCACTTCCTCTCCGTGCAGGCAGAGGCAGAGGAGCGAGACTCATACTGTCCTACCCCTATCCTGCCCCCCCCGCTCGCAGCAAAGGAGTGAGATGCTCGCACGAGAGGGGTGTCACCCCCCCTCCCCCTCCCCCGCTGCGCAGGCCTCTGCCGAGGCAGACGCGCCCGACGGCTTCTGGCTCCTCAAAGACGTCGCCGCGGAGAAGCGCGCCGTCTTCTCGCCGCCCGCGTGAGCAGTGCCTGGCGCAGCTGCCCCCCCCCCCCCCCTCCCCCCCCTTCCGGACTTTCTCTCTCCCTCTCTCCGAGCTCCTCCCCTCCCCCCAACCCCTCCTTCCACCTCTCTCTCCTCTCGCCACGCCGCGCCATTCTCTCCTGCAGCCCTGTGCGGGGCCGCGAGCGGCGAGGGGGGCGAGGAGCGGGGCTCCGGAGGTGTCGCTTTCCCCGATGCACAACAAACAATAAGCCGAACTGCGGCATGTCAGGTGTTGTATCTAGAGAGTCGCGCTGCTGTGGGTCTCGGCGTCGCCCCTTTTTCGAAAGGATGTACCCATGTAGGTCGGGGGGGTGATGACTGATGTTATGGCAAGTGCCAAAGCCTGTGTTCAGTGTTGCCGCGCCGCGCACGCGGTGCCCCCACCCCCCACATACGGCTTTATCCGCCCCCTCCGCAATAGCTCAAAACACGAGACACGTGCCACGATCCACGCGCGCGGGGTGACCCACAGGTTACTCAAGTCGTTACTGTAGGGACGCACAATGAAGGTCCAAGCAAGCGTCCAACCAAGGAGGAAGGAGCTAGGACGTAGGAGGGAGAGGAGCGAGCAGCGAAAAACAACGCATCAACAAGGATCACGCCGGACGCCGCCAAACAAGGCCGACTACACGGTAAGGCATACGGACCTTGCAGAAAACCTTTTCCTTCTAAGCAGGGCTACACAATGACCCTATAGTGTGTGGGTGTTCCTGGCGAGTTGTGATGAGTAGAATTAGACTAGCCAATACTATTTTGAAGTTCATATATGAAAATACCAACTTGCCTATGTGCACGTCTCCGCCGCGGCGGCCCGGAGGCGGCCCGGCGGAGCGGTCAGAGCAGCACTGCGCGGGCCGGCGATCGACTCTCGACTATAGTACGGGCTCTATTGAATGGCCTCAAGGTGCTCTCTAGGGCTGCCCTATTCCGCTCGCCCGGCTACGTCGCCGGGCTTCGAAGGAAAAGGTTTCGCTCGGCACGGCGTCGGAGAGCAAACTTCGACGTTCGTCCTATAGTGGAAGCTGGACGCACGTAGGCAAGTGGCCCATGACCAGGCGGGCTGCTCAGAATCTGGGCCGTCGGCGCTCGCTCTCGCGCTCTTCATAACGGCGTTGCCCCCTCCCTCCCGCGCCGACGTTGGGCAGCCCGACCACGACAACGTCAGCGCCGCTGGCCTGCAACTCGAGGCGCCTTTGAATGAGCACGAGCCGGTGCGCGGCGGCGGCGCGGGTGATGCAGCCCAAGGTGACGGCGACGGCAGAGGGGGCGGCGCCGGCGGCGGAGGAGGCGGCAGCGGCGGCGATGGCCGCGGGGTCGGCCCGCCCGCCTTTGCTGCTGGTGCTGTGGGCATCATCACAGCTCAGCGGCGGTGTGCGACCAGGGCCAGTGGTAGACTTTCGACGCGGTGAGGCTGCTCTCTGAGCAATGACACTAGCAAGAGCATCATGTGTGTCATCGGAGTCACTTGTATTACGATACCACCACGCCGCCACGCTCGCAAGGGCCGCCTAAGCGCCTAAGCACCCTAAGCACCCCCCCGCTTAGGCCGCTTAGGCGCTTAGGCGAGTGACGGCCGGCTGCCCGGGGCCTGGCGTGCCTCCGCCGTGGGCTGAGCGCCCGGGAGAGCCACTCTGCAAGTGGTGTGCGAGCGTGTAGCCTTTAGCGTGCAGTCGGCCACAATCCTAAATGGTGTAATGCGTAATGCTATGGTGCTACCCTGCATGCAAAGTCGCTCCCCCCCAGCGGCCAGCGCCCGAGTGACTAAGTTTACTCGAGTAGCGCTCTAGTAGGGAAGGCCAAGCAACGCCGTGGTAGAAAAGCACGTGGAACCAGCTCATTGCGCCGGCGCCCATAGCCGCAACCGCAGACTCACGCGCCTGCCGTAGCTCATCAGCGGCGCGAGCCACACAGCGCCAGCGGCCACGTGCGCCTCGCTGGCGTTCAGCATCGCGGCAGCCTGCGTCGCAAGCCAGCGATAGGTAGCCAGATCCGCCTCGGCCTTGTGGCTCTTGACTTCGCCTCCGCGGCCAGCAGCTGCTGCTCGCGCCGCCCGGCCTGCGCCCACGCGCGTCGACACAGCGATGCCACGATGGCCCGCCAAGGCCTCGATTCGCTTTGGCTGCCACTGGTTCTCCTCGTTGCCGTGGCCAAGCATGCGACGAGCTCCGCTGCCCCAGCTCCAGATGGAGCCGTCGGCGGTGAGGGCGAGGCTGCGGGTGTCTCCACTCCCGTGGACATGTCTGCGAATCCAGCCGACACAGCAACAACGCACCGCACCGCGAAGGCCTCTATCTTCTTGGGCAGCGGCTGGTTCTGATCGCTGCCGTGGCCCAAGGCTGCGCGACGTCCGGATCTGCCACCGCCCCAGCTCCAAACCGAGCCGTTGGCGGCGATGGCGAGGCTGTGGTGCTCACCAGCCGACGCCGCGATGACACGCTGGGCCACCAAGGCCTCGACCTTCTTAGGCACGACTGGCACGCGCAGGCGCCGTGGCCCAACTGCCCAGAGTATCCAGCGCCCCAGGACCAGATGGCGCCGTCGGCAGCGATGGCCAGGTTGTGGCTCTCTCCAGCCGACACCGCGACGACGCGATGCCCGGCCAAGGCCTCGATCTTCTTCGGCTGCCACTGGGCCTGCTCGTCGCCGTGGCCCAAACGGCCTCGGTTGCCATCGCCCCACGTCACTCACTCCTTAGAACGAACTAAGTAAACTCACCGAGGTTGCCACTCAACCTCCCGGCTCTGGGGGGAGGCGGGGGCCTTAGAGGGTATCCATGCGGGGGGGAGATGGGGTCCCACGGCCCGCCGCAGGCGCCGATTTTTTCGAGACTTTTTTCTTTTTTGCGCATTTTTTACTTGTTTTCAAAGGAATTCGCCGTACTTGCGGCCATGCTATCACGCCTTGCGACAGCCTGTCGGCGCTGCTGACCGTGCCCTGCTGCACAATTGACCACCTGCATAGCTCGCGGCCTTCGTATCCACCATTCAGTGACGACCTGATCGTACGGCCAGTAGGAAGGTGTCCTTCCAGCGCGTGCACGCTTCTGACGCAATGCGCGTCACAAACTGCCTCGGCGACTGGCTGCTGGCACTCTCGAGGCTATGCCTACACAGCCTCGCGCGCATGGGCAGTCAAGAGGGACCATGCACTTTCTCAGGACAGCGCCAGTGCCTCTCCCTTGGACCGGCAAACGTGGTGGTCTCGTGTCACCAATGTGGGACCAGTGCGGCATCGCGCCATCGACAGCTCTGAACTGCGCCTCACCACTGACCGGGAAGGCCGCCAAGTGGGCCAGCACCGGTCACACATTGTGGCAGCAGTCAGCAGTTATCTGATAGCTAGAGCAGCAGCGTCAGGGTCGCAGGGTCGGATCATGTCAAGCCTCTCGCCCGGCCGGCCGCGTGCAGACGTCGGCCTGTCTGCTGTCTGGAGTGATCTGTCGGCGGTCAGTACGACCGATCAGGTCGGAGTTTTCTGATGGTTAGAGGGTCTATCTGTGTGTACTCCTCGAGATCTCTCCAAATCTGCCCTCTGATTAACCTAGCTTAATCGGGAAGTCGGTGCTAATAGAGACTAATAGAGCCGGGGCCCCGTTTCCGCACTGCGGCGCGGCGCACGGTGCCTCCGGGGGCCCCCGCCTCCCCCCAGAGCCTCCCGGAGCTCATGGCAGAGAGTCGGGCGCCACCCAGGCGCCAGGGCCCAGCCCGGGAAAGTGGCAGTCGCCTCTTACGCGACCTGCCTGCGTCAAAGGCCCTCCAGGGCGCCGGTTCACGGCATCACGGGCCAAGGCGGTGCGAGAGAGGTTCACGCCCGGCCGTCGGCCAGGGCCTTTTTGGGTCCTCTGCTTCCCAGTTCCACAGTTCCGCAGCAAAGTGCTGTGATTTCTAATAGTTGTACATGTTGTCCCTATGAATCCCATCTCGTCTCAGACTTCGACCGTTTTATTTATTCCTCACGCCTGCACCAGCGGCGTCTTGCCGGCCGCGATTGCGTCTCGCAGCTTGCGCATCCCGCGCACCCACTTGGTGGGTGCCGACGCCCGCATCTGCGCGTAGCCCGCGACCTCCGGGTGAGGGAGGACGAGCAGCTCGCCGCCGCTCGCCATCGCGTCCAGCGTCGCCTCCGCCACCGCCGCGGGAGAGAGCACGCCCTCGTCGGCGCCTCCTGCCAGCGCGCCTGGCGGCGGCGCCGCCCGAGGGTCCTCCGACGGCAGGCCGACCAGCGAGGTTGCGACGGCCTGCGGGCAGACGCAGTGGACCCGCACGCCTCGGTCTCCGTGGTGCACCTGAGGAGACAGGCAAGAGGTGAGGCAAGAGGTGCTGTGGGAAGGACGAGGACCCGTATTCCGCAGCTAGGGCGCTGCACCGCCAACGAGGCGGCGAAGGCGACCGCCGCAGCCTTCGAGACGGAGTAGCTGGGCGCGCCGACCTGGGTGAGCAGTCCCGCCGCCGAGGCGACCGTGACGAACGACCCGCCCTCCTCTCGCGACTCAAACTCGGGCACAACCGACTCTGCAGCCCACACGTGAGCCAGGCAGTTGATGCTCATCGATCGTTCCCACGACTCGGCCGACTCGCCGACGGCGGAGAAGGCCGTGCCCGCCTCGAGCCCCGATGCCACCCCTGCGTTGCAAACCATGCCGTCGATGCGGCCAAAGGCGGCCCGTGCAGTGGCAATGGCGGCATGCACGCCGTCGCGGGTCGAGACGTCAGCGGCAATGGGCAGAGCTCGAAAGGACTGCGACTCAGCAGCCGCCTCGGCCGCAGCAGCCGCACGCAATGGCGGGACCACGTCGATGAGAGCGACTCCGGCAGCTCCGCGCTGAGCGAGGCCGACTGCGATCGCACGGCCGATGCCACGGCCGGCGCCCGTCACGACGTGGTAGGATGAAGCGAAGTTCATCACTGGCTTGCCGTCGTCCCTGGGATGCCGCCCGCCGCTCTTCGAGCGCAGGGTCTTTGGGTTCGACGGGTGTGCCACCTGCGAGGCGGTCCGGAGCCAGGGGCACCAGGGGCCTTTTCGGCACCAGGAGGCGTGCGAACGGCACCAGGGGCGTGGTGGAACGCGCCTTGACGGAGCAGGAGGCGCCCGCGACTGGCATCACTTTCGTTATCGGGTCCTTGTGCAGCTTGCACAGCTCAAACGAGCCCACCATCATCAGCTCAAAGGCGACGCAGTCGGCCGCGCGCTCGGCACCTTTGGCGGCACTGGTTTGGGCGTGAGTTCCCACCGCTCATCGTACGAGCCCTTGTTGCCACCAGCGGTGCGGCAAGCGCCGCCGAACAGGTCGTACGTAATGCACATGCGCATGTGCATGTGAATCCTTCGTCGGGTGAAGCCGCCGTTCACACGTAGACGACTGCGAGTCGACGTCACGCCCCGGGAAGCTCCTCACGCAGCTCCCGACCCGACTGCGGAGTGCGCTATGCATCAGGAGTCGAGCCAGCCTCTGATGAGCTGGTCGTTCCCTCTTTGCATGGACTTCAAGTGAGCTCCTCTCTGAGGTGTGCGGCGCATAGCACGGTCGGCCGAACCTGACCGAACACAGGAACCCTACGCCACGGTGATGGCATGAAAAGTCGACCCACGGGAGGGTGCGGACAAGGGCCTCCTGCTGATCCGCTGCCTCATCCTCGAGGATTCAGGCGCCTTACCATGAACACAACACACCAAGTCCAAGAGAGCAACGCACACAGAGCAGCGCGACCGGAGGCAGGACTGGGGCAGGAATGGCGAGAGAGTGATGCTACCGAGGAATAGTGAGAGAGTGAAACTGAAATAAGACAATGGGCTTGCCCATCCCGGAGTGGTTCGACCCCACACAAACCCGGAGGGGTGATGGGATGCTGTCGCGGCGGTCTCAGGCCCAGTGAGGTAGTGCGCCAGACTATCCCAGATCCTGCTGAACAAGCTCCTCTTGTAGCTCGATCGGTCACACCGCCATCGCCGTCGGGGAGAGGGGGGACGACACTGCCTCGGCAGCGTGCACCTACCTCGATCCTGTACCGTGTTTGTTATGACCCCCCCCAATGAACACACCAGTGAGGGAGGGCGAGACGATCGAGGGGTCCCGTACCATGCGGAATCGACCCTATCCAGTGCTCAAGTGCTCAAGAGAGTGAACACGGTAACAGCCCAGTAGGTAGGTAGGTAGGTAGGAATGGCGGGAGAGCGACGATCTCGATATGCATTCACGCGTGAAGGCATCTGATCCACGAGCACAGGAATTTCTCTGAGATGTGTGGCCGCACGCTGGGGGCGGGGAAAACGTCTTCCCCCGAGATTTCCCGATGGGCGTTCATTATGACCCGATTGTTACAATGCCATTGAGCCCCGAATCCTGGCCCCAAGTCTGGCTGCAGATCGGTCGTCCTCACTGCTCGACACACGATGGGCTCCCTCGCCTCGGCTCGTAGTATCACGGTGGGATGGCTGGTGATGCAGCCCGCTCTTGTGCACGGCGCGTGCAACGGGTTCTGCGCCAAGCCCAAGACCGCCTGGAGTAAGAAGTGCAACTGGGAGGGCTGCGGTGACTGCACGGAATGCTCCGCACCCGTTCCCTCGCCACCACCCTCGCCAGCACCGTCGCTATCTAGCACATGCAAAGACCACTGTGCCTTAAACTCAAAGATTTGGTCGACGAAATGCAACTGGGAAGGCTGCGGAGGCTGCGCAGAGTGCACCGTCACGCACTCGCCATCGCCAGCCCCCGCACCTGGAGCCGGGCCCTGCAAGAATTACTGCGACAGAAAGACCACCCCATGGCGTACGGGAGACGGTGACAAATGCAGCTGGAACGGCTGTGCGGGCTGCAAAGAGTGCTTGGTTTCTCCCTCGCCGCCACCGCCAAATCCGCCAAGCCCAAGGCCGCCGCCACGCCAGTGCGAGAACCACTGCGCCAAGAAGGACATCTACATCGGAAGCAATTTCTGCTCTTGGAACGGCTGTGGTGCCTGCCTGGAGTGCTTCCCGTCGCCACGGCTATCCTTGTCGCCGCCACCGCTCTCAACCCCTCCGCTGCCACCGCCCCGGCCCAGCCCACCTCCGCCCAGCCCCCCCCCGCCAAGCCCACCTCCACCCACGTGGCCGCCTCCGTCCACGCCGCCGCCACCGCCCTCATCCCCTCCGCTGCCACCGCCCCGGCCCGGCCCACCTCCTCCCAGCCCCCGCCCGTCAAGCCCACCTCCACCCACCCCACCGCCCTCGCTTCCACTTACGCCACCTCATCCTCCCTTGCCCCTCATGCCACCGCCAGCGCCACCTCCACCCACGCCGCCGCCACCATCCCCTCCGCCACCCTCGCCACCGCCACCACCGTCGCCCTCGCCCCTCCCCCCGCAACCAGCCCCTCCGCCGCCGTCGCCGCCGCCGCCGTCCCCTCCGCCGCCGTCGCCACCACCTCCGTCCCCTCCACCACCCTCACCGTCGCCCCCACCCTCGCCGCCGCCGCCGCCGCCGCCGCCGCCGCCGCCGCCGCCGCCGCCACCCTTGAAGTGTGAGAACCACTGCGCCAAGAAGGACATCTACATCGGAAGCAATTTCTGCTCTTGGACGGGCTGTGGTGCCTGCCTGGAGTGCTTCCCGTCGCCCCCATCTCCTCCGCCCTCGCCACCACCTCCTGAGCCGGTCCATAGGTGAGCTGGGGTGGGCCTGGGATTAATGAGACGGTCGAGGAACGCAATTACGACATACCGCGCCTCCCCATTGATTTTAGTTTACGGAGTTGTGTTTCTGCTCGAGCGCCGCGCGCGTATGGCCGCCGGCGCGGCGAAATCTGGGACGAGCCCATGTTACGAGCCCTGACCAGGCGCGCGAATGAGCCTTCTCGTATTCCGCACCTTTTGATATCTCTCGCCATCTATCTCTCGCCAGTCTATCTCTCGACATCTATCGCCCTCATCTACCAACCACCCAGTCACAAAGGGTAGACTGGCTCCAGGTGCGGCTTAGCGTCGGCTTGCGACTGAGTTTGGTTACATCCCAAAGGGCAAGCCCGGCCAGAAAAGCGAGCACTACATCACCTTCACGAACTACATCCTCGGCCCGGCGATCGAGCAGCTGACGGGCGAGTGGCCCATCTTTAACCCAACAACAAACCTAAAGCCGATGTATGCATGTAGGAAGGTGAAGAACAGCCAGGCTCGGACTGGACACCAACGCGGTATGGGTGGACGCGAGACAGATGACCCACGCTACAGAACCCCTAACCAGCTGGAGCCCGAACCCAACAACCACAGGGTTCCGGCTCCTATCCAGACAGGCGAGGGGGTCTGTTGACCACGGTGACACCCTATGCAATAGGTAGGTAGGTCCGGTTTTGACCGCCCCAGAGGGCCCTACAACAGGTGGTAGGTACCCCCTATTTTCGTCTTTTTTCGCTTCGCTGCGCGGCCTGGGGATAGGTAGGTAGGTAGGGCGTTTTGGCGCGAGTCATGGTGCACAGACCCCCTAGAGCTCTATCTGGGTGGAGCGGAACCCAGGCGTGTGTGTCTCGCGCCTTGCGGGGGGGGGAGCGGAAAGGAGGGGAACCTCTTCCCAAGAGCACCACTCTTGGAGCGCCGCCACTACCACCCAGAGCGCTGCAAGCAGCGCCGGGCAATGACGGCTTACCGCCCACCCAGCCCCCCTCCGCACACCCCGGCAGCCAATGTGTGACGGCTCGAACCCGCTAAGCCACCCCGCAAGCGGGATGGCCCGCCACTCGAACCCGCAAGCGGGCGTACGAACCGCGAGCGGCTCGCACTCGTGACACGCAGGCGTCCGACAGACGGCGCCGGGGCTAGGCGACCGCACACTACCCGCTGACGAGCGCTCGCGGAACAGGTCCGCGGCGCCCGTCAGGGGCGTGCGCGAGATAGGGCTCGGAGCCCTTTTCTGTGAGCAGGGATTCCCTCCCGGCGGGGGTTGTGGCGGAGAGCCGGCATGGGAATCGCCGGCCCCCACCCAGGGGGTGCCCCTGCCAGGCGCCGCAAGCGGTGCCCGGCAGGGGCGGGATCCCCACCCCGAGGGGTGGGGGCGGGGTCGGGGTCCAACGTGACCCGGCCCATCGCCTCGGCAAGGTCTTCGACGCTAAATGCCGCCACGCCGCTCGAAGATAGCTCGCTAGTTGTGCGTTCTCCCCCGGGCGGGAATTCTCCCCGTCGCACACGCCATCGCGTACTCGCTGTCCGTTCGGAGGGCCGTAGCCTTCGGTCATATGCATATCACGAGCATGGCATTCTCGTCGCTTATGCCAGGTAGGTAGGTAGGTAGAAAGGTGAAGAACAGCCAGGCTCGGACTGGACACCAACGCGGTATGGGTGGACGCTAGACAGGGGTCCCGTACCACGCGGAATCGACCCTATCCAGTGCTCAAGTGCTCAAAGATGATGACATATTATGCCGTCCCTCCGGCGTCGGGTT